ATATATATACATATATATATATATACATATATACATATATATATATACATACATACATACGTATATATGAAGAGTTAACGCCCTTACTCCAAGAGTGCTCTCATCCACTGGATCCAGAATATTTCAGTAGATTAAATATTTCACTGCTGGACGTTTTACCTGAAACCAGTCGATAGTGCAGCAGTTGATCAGTGAGGGGAACATTCTGAGTCTGTTTCTAAACGCGTCTCCAATGGGACTCATACAAAGAACCACGTGCAAGTTACGGCGAACCCGCTCGATAAAGAAGTTATACATGGCCAGAGGACTGGAATCCACCTTAAGGTTTCTTTCTTGAACAATGTTTTGCATCTGAATAGAGAATATAAAAACACAAGTCGCTTGTCTGCATAGCAGGCGCTTGGCGTAAACGTAAGTGCTAGGTGTGTGGAAGAGAGCAAACACTAATGACCTTTGCCTGGGTGTATTCTCGCATGTGCATGCCGGTATCGCGCCTGTAGCAATGAAGATGGACTTATGTTCTGTATAGTATCCCTGTAGTTTACTCTGTGCGGCTCAAACCTCTCCCCCCGCTTCTCTCTCTCTGCTCCTTCCCCAGCATCTCAGCATATCAACCCATCTTTTAAAATTTCCAGGGAGGCTCGTCCCAAACGACCTTAACCCATTAACCCCAAGTAGAGATTATCATTTAATTTCTCTTTACAATATCACACTTAAATAAAACTTAAAAGTTTAGGAGAATGAAGGAAATGGTCGCCGACTAAAGAGGTTCTTTATAATGCAGGTCCTTTATAATACAGTGCAGAAAACCAAACATGCAAACATCACAAGTGTCATGAGTTACCTGTTCTGTGATTTCAGCTTTTTCGTCAGACTCATAGATGTTGGGTACATCACCCGTGTTTAAGATCATATTGATATCCTCCAGGAATGCCTCATCCTATCGAGTCAAAGAAAACAGACTCATTAAAGGTTAAGTCAGTCTGTAGCTGGATAGACATCATCAGTATATCTATTCGTAGGTATAGGAATTATCTTATTGAAATGTGATCAGATTCATTTACAGAAACATGGGATAAATGAGGTTACAAACATTTTTCTTGCTCTCGACCTAAAGCTCCATAGCTCAGTTAAAAATGGCGCCCAACTAGTATCTATGATGGACGGATCTACTTCGTATCGAAGCCTGAATTTTTCCGGGCTTTTTCATAAGCAGTTTCTTTAATTGCAGTTCACCGCCGCAAGGATCATTTCCTTTCTTCCATAATTATCATACGTAGGTATGAATGCGATTAAGTTTATTTGATTATGAGCAATAACTTGTCTTCGAAAATAAAAACGACTAAAAATGAGGTATTCTCTTCAATTTATTTATTTCCTTTTCTTTGATCATCAACTGTTAGCTTCTGTGCAACTGATATGTCATGACTGTGGTACTATTCCTACGAGGCCTGGTGTTTGATTCGTCGCTCGTTATCCCCCAATGCCTTTTGGTGAGTTCCATACTGTCAAGATGAATTCTAAATTAAACTTGGACTGGGACTATTTCACTCACTGGATGGCGCTCATTTTAGTTGAAGTGGGAGATGTGGTGTCCTAATAGTTAGAGCGCTGGCCTCCGGGCAAGTCACTTTACAAGGCAAGTTCTTGGGCAAGTCACTTCACTCCCACATTGCCTCTCTCCACCCAAGAATGTGAATGAGTACTGGCGATTTGCCAGGGGAGCCTGATAAAATACTGGTGGGTAACTTTAGGATGGTCTAGCATCCCATACAGGGGGGAGCAGTGGTACTCCTTGTCGCTTCATGGTATGGAAACCGTGTTAAGCACTAGCTGCATCTGCATGAGCCACTTGACTCCAATACACACTTCACCTTTTCTTTAACCTTACATTATAACTTGGCAGTACTCAAAAACTGACCTTGAGCTGGTGATCACCAAACAGGAACACTGTAGAAGCTCCATCGAAGCCAGCCTTCCTCAGCATCTTTTTCAAATCTTCTCTCCAGTCCGTGAATGTGTATGTCTTGGTGATTTCGATTTGAAAGAGTTCATAATCTGACATAAAGGCGGCTAGTTTGGTAACACTAGCACGACCAGAACCACCAATACCTAGGGGTATATTTACAAAAATAAAGATATTCTGTTCGCAAAAGTTGAACTCATCATCTTGAAAAAAAGACTTCCCCTAAATAACTATGTTTAATAACAAAAATTTTTGGGAAAAAAACGTTGAACACTTTGCGCCCATTTGCAAACACACTCTCAGCAGAGTGAGTACACTGGACCACCTTATGTAAAAATCGTTTGCTCATAAGCCATGAATAAGAGCTAAGCAATCATAACCAAAAAGTTGTATAATGAAACAAAAATTTAATTTAAAACAATAAACAATTTTCCGTCAGAAGAAAACTGCGAAAAAACTTCTGATGCAGACGCCAGAAACCCACACATTAAGAAAGGTCGTGATTTTCTTGTACAGCTTTCTGTCAATAATTCTTGGGAAAACTGTCGTCACTCTAAGGGGCCTCTCTCCATCCATGGAACCTAATGGCGAGTAGAATGTCATGAAAAATTGTCGAACTGCTTTGATGTAACCTGCCATGGACTTGTAAAACATACGGGAGGTAAGTGAGGGGGGAGGGGGGCGGAGAAGTCTTAGTCTTACTCTTAGTCACTTCAAGAAATGGAAACCAGCTTACCTACTAACAGCGCATGTCCATTGGGCTGGCGGAGGACTCGACAAATTCTGGACACGTGTTCGATGGCAAATCTGAACATCACCATGTCCATGGGTGCTTTGCTTGACACGTTGTAATCTTCGAGAAATCCATCCATTATCTTCAAAAAGGAAACAAACACGAAAAGTTACTCTAATGGTCTGCATAGCAACTCTTACTGTGGGCACTGATAAGCATGCGCAGATACCTGCGTACATCCAACAGATCAACCTTGATTAGAAGATTCGCTCAAATGATAAATGAATCCAGTGAGGTTGCCAGAGTAAAAAGGACTCTTCCTTGTCTAATGTGCGAGTTCCTTCCACAAACTGGACAGTACAGGTACACTATAATATTTTTGTTACTGATGGAAATGATTCCAGCTTTATTCACTAATATATACAAGAATAACGGTTTCAAATCCACAAAAAAATGTGTATTAAATTTCATTCAACGCTGAACTTCATACTCTGAACAACAGTACCTTAATGGGTGACACAATTTAGTATCTAATGCAATTTCCTTTCCCTTTTTTCGACAAAGCCGCGTATAGCTCACTTGCCTGTTAGCCAGAAAATCTCCCTAAGTTTGGGATGACGCAATAAAAATGTAAGGGGTGTTTCTGCAAGATGGAGGGCATGATAGAAAAAATCGACATCAGCCGACCTTTTGACTCACTTACACACGTTATGGTGTCATAACGTGTGTAAGTTATGACACCAAACCGAACCGAAAATTTACATGTTCGCCAAACCGAACCGAAAATTTACATGTTTCGCGCCGAACAAAGCTTCGAAATAATCTTCGGTAAGGTCTGATCACAAACAGTGTAAGGGACTGCTAGAGGATTCGGAAAGGTTTTTTTCTAGGAGGGCATTAACAACTGTTCTTCGGTACAGAACTTTGAGCCATTTACGTATAATTTGTTGTGTTGACGGTAGAGTGCAGCTTATTAAACTAGAAAAATCGAACCTATTTCGTGATCAAGAGAAACTAAAGCTTGCACAACAAAAGACGGGTATTAAAACTTGTCGATCAGATACGAGGCAAAGTGTGTAACGCCTGTATGCAAATAAAATAGTGGTTTTTTAGTTAAACAATGAATATTTAATAATCATCTTCCAAGACTTTTTATTCATTTACAAACAGTACGGTGTCGTAAAACGAAACTTCACAAAATTCGAAAAAATGTACCGAAATTTAAATGGTTCAAGTCGAACAAAGTACATAAACTTCAGTGATATAATAAGTGATAATTCAGATTTTATCCATGTTCTTTCAGGGACTGTTTTAAAATTTTATAGTTCCAGTTTACACCCGAATATCTGTCTAATCAAACAACAATTAATAACCATGTCTTCTTGTGTACGGAAACCATTCAAAATTCTATTCATCAACAAGCAGTTACCATGGTAACAATGGCAAGGCCTCAGTTTGACATTTTCCCGTAAAGACTTATCTCTTGATTGAGAAGTTACTACACGCGGATATTGTGCGAGTAGCATAATACGTTCGCCACGATCAAAAATACAATTCATAGGCAGGTCACAGATCTTTCACATGAAATCTGATTGAATAATCTTACACCGGCAATTTTAATAGCATGTACTGGTACAAATTAAGCGTCTTATTCCATCAGTTTAGGCGGTTACGGTAGCTGCAAACAAGGGTTTTTGAGAGTAAAACTTGAGGGAAAATAAAAGCGCTCGATGGGTAGTAAGTTTCGAGCGTGTCGAACAGTTAAAAATATTGCTTTCAAAACAAATTGAGCAATTTTCGATCAGTGAACTCAAAAGGTCCTCAAATCACTAATCTCAAAATCGTAATTTACCTAACGGCTTCGTGCACCCTCATTTTTGCCTTCCGATCAATTTGCTTTCAGTTTTCGTACCTTAAGTGGGATAATTTCGATTCAAAATAAAGCAACAAAAACATAGGTCAACGTGTTTGTTTAACACCAAAAGATCATTGCACCTGTTAGCCTCGTCTATTGATTGAGTAAAAGACAAATATCCGCCACGTTATTGGAAAGCACGTGCGCTAATTGGCAAGGAGTTAGGGAAGACGTTCTGCGCAGTACAAGATGTGCAGCGCACCACTGAATAACCACTTTCAAATTTGTATCAGCAGAATGACATTTTCAAGATGGGAGAGGATGCCTAGCATGTTGATCCAAACATCATCATTTCATGCAAAACGAAACGCGCAAAATTAGTGTTATTGTTACAAATGTCAAATCAGCACTAAAAACTGCCTCTAAAATGCAAGACCATGACTGCCTGCGATCAACTAAGGAAACTCCACCGATATGGTAAGTACTAATGCTTATATGCCCATATTCAATTCGTGGTCGTCCTGGTACAGTTTTCAAAGTTGACAGTTACAATTTACCTCCGAATATTTCAGCTGAGAGGTTAAAGAGTTAGACTTAGGTCTATTTTGCCAACAAATGTCATTCCCTTGTAAGATTCGCTGTTTAGAATCATTCTAAAGTTAGGATTTTTTACAATTTTTCAGACAAAGATGTTCAATAATTCGAAAAGAAGTGGGTAAAAAGTAAGAAATTCAGCATAAGCCTGCGTAAAGCATTTGACGAAAAAGCGCGATGCTCTCAGCTAGAAATTCTCCGTTTCCCTGACAACATGTGTATTGTCGGTTAACTTCTCTGGTAAGTAGATCGAAAACTACCTTCAGTTTGGGGCTAGAATACGTAAATGCGCCCTAAAGGAACTGATATTACAGGATCATTTAGATAACTAAACATATCTTGCTTTATTTCAATTTCTCACGCGATATTTTACAATAGAGCACAATGCCAGCAAAAAATGTTATTGAAAGGAACTTCCGGTAACAAGTCATGTTTCGTCTAAGCCAAAGGTAATCTTCCTTTACTTTTCTACGATTGACTTGGTTAAAATCCCACACGAATAGACGCAAAACAAAGACATCGTGCTTTTAATGCACGAGTACCTGTATCTTATTATTGTCGGCAGGTAGTGCAGTGAAGCATTTCAAAGATTGGAATAACCCTTGGCCCTGAAAGTAAACTCGCTAATTAACTGTATTAATATTAAGATGGTCCACATCCGACAGGCAAATACTGAGCGAGAACTGGCTCGAGTACAGAAGATCGAGGCTAATGGCCAAACTCTACAAGAAAACTATTCTGAAAAAACCATCTCCTCTTCTCTGAACTGCTTTATTTCGTAGGAACTTATCAAAAGAAAACAAAAAGAACCGAGCAGAATAAGTCAAAACCCACGCAAAAAATGTTTGCTTATTTCTATTTACATTACGCGGAAAAAATTACCAGCAAGCGTTGCTCGCATCTGACAATATTGAATATGGGCCATTATGAGATGGCTAGGCAGTGTTTAAGTAAAACCGAGTGTTCTGATTGGTTCTTACTAGGTCCGGATTTTGCCATACGGACTGTTTCAACGGAAACGGTAATGAGCCGTGTATTATTGTTCACGAAAGCCAGAAAATTCAAAACGACATCAGGCCAATATTCCCCAATGCGGCCCTCACGCTAGGTTAATAAGAAGTTATTAGCACAAAATCCTATGAAGACGGGTAGAACCAGTTCAATCTCTGGTGGAACCATGGCACCTGTTACTAGCATTCTAAACCCGGCCGGCATCAGTTAAATAGATTAACATAAAACAACGGGAAAGCCGGGTAGATTAATGACAGACATTCTACCACAACAGAATTCGTGTTTCTTATTTGCAGTGGCTGCATTTCAGCTGAGAAATCATCCATTCAATCTTATAAACTGGAGAGTTTGCAAAGCGCTGTTCTTTATTTTGCTCATTGTTATTGTACTCCAAACGATTTCACCTCGACTATTTGAGTTTACTGCCTCGTTAGTCAAAAGACTAAACACGTACAACCATAAAAGGTGTGTTGATATTACAAGACAAATGAGAAATGGAAGATGGCAGAAACGTTCGGATCTACAGCCCGCAGATGAGCTTCACAGACGAGAGCAGGACACCAGGATCAGAAAACTTAGAGGGTTGCCAGCAAATTTACACAGAGAGGATAAGAAGTGTGGAAAGACTTTTCCACTGAAAGCACCTGAATTCGGCCTCCCAATTCCTTCTCTGTGTGACCCTGGAGGCACGCATCCGTGTTGTAATCATAATCTTGCGAAGTGTGGACTCGCAAAAGAAGATTGTCAATGCAAATCATGCACGGATTTTAGAAGTATAGTGTCTGCGGAGCTACACGAGTTCATTCCTTCTTCTGGCTGCAAGTTTCAAAACTTCACCAGTGCTCAAACATGTCAGTTGTTATCCGAAAGAGTCTCCAGTTTGCTGCTAATTGGTGATTCGCTAGTGAGGCATTTACATAATGCACTGCTGATTTTATTCACAAACGACAAGGTATTTGGAAGTCTTGCAAAAGACATCGACGAACACCTCAGAGATTTGTGTTCAGGCGACATGCAATTCGTAGACTCTGGTAAAACGGGGTGTCACGGAAAAACGGCCCTCAACGCTTCCCAACTTCCTGAAGGGAAAATTTGCCAAGGGCAATATACCTTCGAGTATTCTTTACATCAATTTTACAGCATGGGATATGCCAACTTGGCACTGCAAAAGGTTCGGGAAAAACTTAACGAAACAAACTCAGTTATCGCTATTGGAGTAGGACTCCATATGGATCTGGATGCTGATACAGTGTTTAACGGCTACCTTAAACCAATCCTTCAACTTAAGGAACAAGCAGCAAGCAAATGGCCGCTTATTGTCTGGCTCACAACGCACGCACATGGCAGCCTTAAACCAATTCCGTATATTAAATCCCAAGGTAATGATAAAATCATTCGTTACAACCAAGATATGAGGCGGCTTCTAGAACCTTTTGATGTTCAAGTGTTTGACACATTTAATCTAACTCTTGGGGTGCATAGCTATGACGGAACACATTACGGTTTTGGAGTAAACATGATGAAAGCACAATTATTTATGAATTTTGTGGAAGAAACCTTTCCACACAAAAAGCGTTTGCGCACTTGACGTATTTTTTCCAGGAGGAGTCAAAGAAGCGTTCGAGCACCAAAGAATACTATCAGCAAGATATAGCAAGTTCCTAAGCAGTGGTTGGTCGAGAACTGCGGGTTCAGCCTTGTTTCTGATATCACAAGCCAGCACCAGGTGCTATTGCGTCAAGCCGATCACATGCTGATCACACCCATGCGCATTCACAAACAAGCCAGGGACACAACTAACAGCTCATATTGCGTTTTTCATCATATAATATAACTCTATATTAATGGAGGAAACATTAATTACGTAGTTTTTTCTTTTGAGAATCTGGCTTAAATGTTCGCATATTTTCAAACCATTCCCAATTCCCCTCGAGTTCTTACCGCACTAAGTCCTTCTGTATCTTGTATTTCATCATACAGACGGGGATTTGCTTTACGGTCCATATAATCACCGAAGAACAAACTGCAGATCAAAAATAAAGGTCAAGTTTACATTAAGTATATTTAAAAACATTTCAGCGTCCTCCTCTATCTAGAAACCCCACGGCAGACATCTGCCAAAGTAGAATCAAACCACTGTCGTTCTGCCTCCTAGGGCGTCAACAATTAACAATCAAACCTCTCAGAGTGGCTAGCATCTAATTTCTCCTCACAAAATCACCCCCAATCAAACATTGAGGTCAAGAGAATAAAGGAAATGATCACCAATTAAAGAAGCTCTTGACTATCAAACAAATTCTCTTTGTCAGCACCGTAAGAAATGTATAGAGAACAGTACGGAGAATATGCATAATGATGTTAGAGTGTGCTTGGCCCTCTAACCATGTTAATAAAGTCGACAGTTGAATCAGTTATTCCAGTTGACTTCTTTGAGGAACATTTTGGGAACTCCGTCTGCAAGTTGGTTCAAACTAATGGTCCGTACGATTCAACACAAGACTGAGCTGATCGCTTATTGCCTAAAAATTGAGGAATATTGTCGGTTGCCCGATGGAAACAATGTCGAATGAGCAAACACGTCGGTTAAGGTTGCCAAACAAAGATTTTGAAAAATGGCAGTCTACAAAGCAACACCCAAAGGAGAAAACAGTTGCAATTCTAGGTCATGGCATGTTCTATACAACAAAGTGGTTAAATATCAGGCATGCGCACGGGGATCAATTATAGCCGGCCGAACATCAATTCCTGCGCACAATTTCAAAGAAAAATTAAAGAGACAACCGCAGTCTCCCAAAAGAAACGATGAAAATTGAAACTTTTTATCTTTAAAAGTAAAAAGTAAAACGTGAGACTTTGCGAACGAAAAGCTTATTCAAGCATGGTATCCTTTTGATTTACCATTCTGTTTTGAACCTTATCAAAAAAGTTACACGCTTTTAAAACATCGTGACTTACTGGCTTGTGTGTTTTTCTGTGACTCGTGTGAAACAATTGGTTCTGACAGCCTGAAAGCACACCACCTTTACATCACAAAGTTCACATACGCGCAGACGTATGACCGCTGTGTTGTTCTAAAACGAGATGTGCACGAACAAGAACGAAAACCAGACGAGTTATGAAGTCTTACCTCCTGAGACTGTCATCAGTAACAACACCGCCTCTGCCAGCCAAATGTTCCAACACGTTGTTCATCTTCTCCTTGAACTCTGAAGCCATTACATTCTAAAATCAAAGAAAACTGTGAATAAGTCGTGGATACATTGCGCTTGAATGAGTTTTGAAGATGATTAAATTCCTATGGGTAACTCCTGGTTACAGTTGAAACTACTTGGAATTACTTTGAACTGCTGGGACGATGTTGAGTGAATGGTCAGAATTCACATTGTAGCTATCGGTCAGTACAAAATACAGACTGCAAACCGGGTACGAAATTCAGACTTGGTACAAAATGCAGACTGCAGACTGGAAATTTTGAAAACTGTTTTTTCGTCTGATAAATGATAACGTATGTCATCTTACAAATTACCGAGTGTCACGCAATGGCCTTTTAGAAATCACTTTCATGATCATTTGCACTATTTCGGAATATTCCTTGCCCGTTTCCTCGCACATTTTGTTTTTAACAAAGCGGCCACTAAATTCGGTTTTTAAAAAAGCGGCCACAATCGTTCTCAAATAGAATTTCAAGCCTTCGTACAGGGTTCGACATCTCCGCTAGCCCGGTAGCCCGAGGCTAGTAAAAATTTGGTCGGGCTAGTAAAAAACCACGTTTAATAGCCCGCTGGCTAGTAGAAAAATTGAAAGAAATTATATATCATTAGTTTACTTGAAGCTCACAGTTGACTAAAAAAATCAAGAAAGTTTAAATTGTAATGATAATAACAATAAAGAAATACATCGGCGGAGCTAAACACTCGGCGGAGCTAAACTGTAAGTGGCAGTGACAAAGAATGTAAATATTTTCCTATTGGTATGTTAGAACGTGGGCCGCTAGGGTGTTAATTGAGTCTGTTGTATGGCGTATTTAAACACGAAGGCGCGCTATATAAGGAAGTCTTCCCTGGGAAGGCCTAGGCTCATTTGTCACTCACCATTGACGTGTGCAGGTCAAATTCAAATGCTGGTAGACGAACAAAAGGAGCTAATGAGATATCTATTGTTTACTTCCACCAGCATGGTGGCATGAGGTAACGTGCGAACTACCTACTTCGATCTCAAATTTACCGCCACAAATAAAGACAGTTTCCACTGGAGAAAGGAAATACAAATCTCAAAAACTCTTGTATTGTGATGAAGACATAAAACAATTTTGAGGAATGCGCCCGCTGTTCATTGCTTTGGAGTAGCTGTAGCTCAAGCTGACTTGACTCTAAGAGTTCTACATCACACGACGGTTGATTGACAAATGGTCCAGTGGGACCTAAGGCTCCTTTTATAGCGCACCTTCGTGTACATTCGTACACCTTTTCGTGTACATTCGTACACCTTCGTGTACATTCGTGTACATTCGTACCTTCGTGCACCTTCGTTGACATTTGTAATGTATTCATCTCATCTCTGGAACTTTTCTAGTTTTATGTTAAATTTTATCTTGCATGTAATTAAGCTGTTTTACCTCTAACCCCCAGAGGTCGGTGCGCCTGCAATTGGATGGGGAAGTGACGTTCCCATTTTTCCCACTGGGTTTTTTGGGTTTTCGTATCAGGCGGCGGCACACTAAACGTTTTAGCCCGAGAGGTGATGACTAGTTATTTACTGCAGTAAATGGCTTAGTTATCTACTACTCTGTTTAACTTTGTCGGACGGCATTAAATACTCGGGCTCCTAGTTCCAGCTGCACACCCACTCTTGTGTATGAGTCGTGAATTTAAATAGGAAGGCATAAATCTTTCATCTTCTGGCGTCTTTTCTTGTCTTGCGTGTCGATCGTAAACATCGGTAGATCCCAGACTCTCTGCTTAATGGTCAATGTCTTCCCCAATCTTCTCCCTACCAATGTTGCGATGCTTTGCACATCGCCACGCCATTCTTTATCATTTTGAAAGACTTTGCCAATAAGTTTAGAGGAAGGTTTGCGTGTTTGGGGTTGAAGTAGACCTCGAGGGAAATTGATCCGGGCTACCAAGTTGTGTTTCGGGCTAGTAAATTTTAGAAATCACCAGCCCGGTGGCTAGTAATGTAGGTGGCCAAGTGTTGAACCCTGTTCGTGTAGTCTTCTCGTTTCGCGCGCGAGATGTCAGTATTCAAAAAAAAAGACAGCTTTTGTGTGTGGTGCGAACTCTTCACCTTTTAAACCGATATGTGTATATTTTCATTTTGTTGACAAAAATGTGGACTTAGACCAAAACTGTTCCTTCCACTTGATATATTTTTAACGTTCTGGGGTGTACACACAATGACTTTCACAAATTAATGTTTACGTAGTCACCACACAGATGAGAGGTAGAACTATCAGAAAAGTAATTAAATGGCCAGTCACGAAAACAGCACTTGGCTTTCCCCTATAAAAATTCGCCGGTTACTCATTTTAGCGATATATAACGATATAAATACTGAGAAGAATGAAGGCTTGAAATTGTATTTAAAAACGATTGTGGCCTGGACGCTTTGTTAAAAACAAAATGTACCCGGGAACGGCGAGGTATATTCCACAAAGAATGCAAATGATCGAGGAAAAGCGATTGCATTGAGCGTCTTCGCTCATAGTTACACCTTTAGTCTTTCAAAGAGCTTTGACTCGGTTACACATGTGCTAACTGCGACAAGTATTGTAATTAAAATCGAAACTCCTTCGAAGAAAGATCGAGTTAAATTTTAACATCGCGGAAAAGCGATTGCATTAAGCGTGTTCACTCATAGTTGCACCTTTAGTCTTTCAGAAAGCTTCGACTCGGTTACACATGTGATAACTGCGACGAGTATTGTAATTAAGATCAAAACTCCTTCGAAGAAAGGTCGAGTTAAATTTTAACGTCCCAGTGATTGAGGCGTTCCCGTATAATTTCGGAAGGTCGCGATCAATAGTCCTTTTTACAGTCGTGGGCTTGGTGGCCAGGCCTTTGAACAGGAGTGAGGCTAAGGGTGACCTTGTTATGATAGGGATGTTGCTGTTTTTCAAATGCAAATTTCTTTGTTATCATGCTAACTAGCTACAGGTCTCTATCACAACAGGGTCACCCTTAGCCTCACTCCTGTTCAAAGGCTTGGCCACCAAGCCCTCAACTGTAAAAAGGACTATTGGTCTGCCGTCAACATATCGATTTGTTTACATCTGAGTGAGTGACACATTTGCATATTCAACCCCATTCTAATAGTCGTTTCTACGCTTCGCATACCCACGACTACAAACCACTACAACATTTGAGGGAAATTTAGAAATAAAAAGGGATAACAGAGTGTACGTAGTCCAGCTAAATTCATAGTTACAGAAAATTATTTTGCTAAAAATTTTCTTCTACAATTTGTAAGATTCAGTAAATCAATTTCTATTCCGTTCGATTGAAAAGTTCGAGGCATCCACCCATGGCAATAAATGACGCATTCCAAAGCCTTGGAAGTTTGGATTACATTCTTCAATTACAAACTGAATCTCAGCATGACGCAATATAAGATTAAGTCACCTGGCTTAGTCAACTCTCTGATGTAAAATATAACAACCCTTCAAGCAGGCTCTCATTATTACTCCTGCGAGACGAGTCTTTCTTAGCCCGTGAAAAAATCTGATTCCTTGAGTAAAGCGAGCTGGCGAGATGTCTGCTGGGAGCCTGGCACCAAGTGCAAACCTCCCAAACTCGTCACAAATCTTTCCGCGGGCGGGGGCGTCCTGCAGTGCTTATGACCGACTATAACCAACTTGTTAGACACGACATTGACAAAAATAACGTTTCCATACCTTAACTATCTCAAAGAAGCACTGCCGGTCCTCAGAGTCAACCAATCTATCGTAAAACACGCGGTAGACTTCATGAACCCACAATCTGATCAGCTTGCTTGGATGAGTGGCACAAACTCCGGGAAATAGAAGGATCCCCTTTAATGAGACATTTGCAAATACGGCAAAGTCAAAAAACTAACTGATGATTTGTCGTACAATAGTGGACCTACATTTCTATAGCGAAATGCGAGGAGGGAAAGGGAAACAGACAGGGAATCAACAAAGTGTTGATATGATTATTAAGTAAGACTTTTATGGAATATTCGTCTGTTTGAAGAATCAAAAAAGTACTGAGGTTGTAAACAGGCCTTCACAGAATATTCTTTAGTTTGAAGATTCAACAAGGTGTTGATGAGCTGTAAGTAAAACATTGAGTGGCGAAAACCCAAAACCAAAGTTATCATAGCGGGCCAATGAGAAGAAAGGAAAATACATTTGAAAGCCAATGAGAACTCAAAGTAAAAACAACCAATCAACCTAAAGCGCGAGAAAACGCTGACGACTAAATCGCGATTGGTCTTAGTTTTGCATCTGACTGGTTGAAAAAGTAGCGTGAGTTTTCTGAATCAATCGCAACACGAGCTAAAGGAACACCAAAGCAATCCGGATCGACACTCCACTGAAAATTGTTCTACATGGCCTACACAAATCCCTCGCTTCTTTGAAGTCGTATGAGTATAAGGTGAGGATGAAGGCAGAAAAAAATTTACCACCAAAATTATTTTACCTGTACGACCCTTGCAAAATCTCTGAGATTGAACACATAGTGGGACTTAGATGGCGTGGGAAGGAAGCTGGTAATAGCCTGAGTGTACACCTCGGTAATGGCGCTGATTATAATCTAATAAAGCAAATAAAATACAAATATTATGAACATAGCTGTAAACGACGGCAATTGACACATTATTATCACTGAGTCGATTTGTTTGCCCCCGTATCACCACTTATATTTGTTCGAGACCAGTAAGAGTTTGCCACATTTTTTTTAAAGAAAGGCGAAGAGAGCAACAGACAGAGAGAACAATCAGTGGTGCGAACGAACAAATCAAATCATGCAATGTCGAACGGTGACTTAGCTCACAGTGAATGATCTTAGCGTTGAAATGAACAGTTCGAATGGAGACCTTATTAGAAAGGTACTGATCACTTGACTTCTACGCAATTAGACTATACCTTAGAGAACCTCCTTATCTGCATTTCAAAGCCACTGTTGTTAAAATGCCAATCCGTGATGACAGAAAAGATATTTCTCATGGTTTCTGTGCTGAACGAGTCAATGGAGATGATGTTGAAATGCCTCAGGAAACGCGGAGTAATTTCATTCCTGCCCCCTCCCGGAGGACCCATAGCAGACACTAGCAACTGGTCCACGAGCGTTAGTACTGACGTGTCCTTCCTGTCAATAATAGAATGTGGAGAACGATATCAAATGCTTTAGTTTTGTTTTTATTATTATTATTATTTTTTTTACATGAAAGACCGCCCAAGCGTTTACTGACTTGATTTAACGCGGAGTGCTTCTGCTGATCCCCTTGTAAAGTTTCCAAATGATTGTAGTGCAACCGTAACTACTGCTCAGCTGTCTTCATTTCTTGTTCTCTTTTTATCATGATTGATTACTCAGCCTCGTTTAGCGACCAGCCATTATTGATCCCCTGGAGGGGTGGGGAGGTGGATGATTTTGAGGGGATCAGAAAAATTTCAAAGGGAACGGAGGGGGTATCAGTCTGCACCAACAAAGTATACAGATGGGACTATGAAAAGTGGACTGCCAATTAATTGCCAATAAGGAGGGGAATCATAATAATATTGCAGAGCCTTATGGAGGGGATCAGATCAATCCCCCCTTTGATATTTCGTGCTAAAAGATAATTTCCATCGCCCCCCATGGCACCATGCACAAGCGCAAGCCCAGCTTAACGCTACAGCCTGAAAGAAGAGACTTCACAAGCTCTTTTGGTATATGATCCAAACTTTTTCGTTTCAAATTCTGGGAATCCGTCATAATTTACCTGTCAAACCAGTATCCATGATCAATCCACTGTCGCAAAACTTCGATGGGTGGCTGGGCACCATACTTCTCCTTAGCTGGCATATTTAGATCATCTACAAACACCACAACCTTCTTACCAATGGCTGGGCCATACACACCTCGCTTTCGTCTGAAAAATGGAATTGGCCAACGATTATTTAACCTTTGCTAGAGACGGAGAAATCGCCACCATATGATAGCCCCCCGAGCAAGCCCTCATTCTCCGGCCCTCATTATTAGCGGTGCAAGACGCGCGGTTCTCAGCCCGCGGGAAGACTTAGGACGAGTCGGGAGAGGTTTGCCGGGAGTCTGGTCTCCCGCCGGCTCGCGTTGCTAAGGGCCTCAAACTTTCATGCAGGCGAAGAAACACTCCCTAAAAGTGAAGGCCCACTACAAGGCTACATTCCCACCAGAGGGCTTAGCAAGCCAGGAGCCACCTATTTTAAGTAACACGGGACCCACTCATTCCAAGTACTGTTTTAAGTAAGACTCTCTGCCACGGTTTTTTTTTCTTTTCTTACAAATCTTCCAAGCCTTCGCTGATCCATAAAGTCAACGAAGATGTTGGGTCATCCAATGATGTCGCCATATTATCCAACCCGCTCATGAAGAACAAAATGCAACAGTTAATCATCAGTTAATTGTTACCTATCTAATTTTGAAAGGATCATGTCTTGGGTTTGGTTGGAAGTTGTTTGGGCGGAAAAGTTCATGAAGTTAGCGATGTACCTGAAAAAAGAAAAAAATTTTCAAACTCAAACTTGTAGCCTTTGGACTCGCAGTGCAAATGCAATTGTGAAAAAGAAATTTCTAAACTGAATCCTCTACGTACGGGAAGCTCTGAGGAGGGGCTAATCTCAGAAATATAGTTTTCAAAGTTGGCGGTAGAGGCTATTCATAATACCACTATAAATAGACATCGATAACGTTCGGCGCTGGTTGCCGCACGGATTATACATTGCCTTTCCTCGTAAACTCTTAACGACCAAACTGATTGTACTCACTTGTCGGGAGGCATGCGCAGAATGTAGTCGTTTGTTATGGCTGATTTTCCAGTTCCTGTCGGGCCAACCAATAGCAAAGGCTTCTCGTGATCAAGGAATAACTCCAGGAAATAACGCTGACGAACTGTCTCTGTGGTGGGTATGATCAACTCATTCGGCTACAAGAACAACATTTGACAAAGAGACAAAGAAAAATACTTCACCAGTACCGTACTTTCTTTCAGAATTGAGTAATAACAGAAACCTATGGCATAAATAAACACAAGCTGGATAAGTTTATGTAATAATATCATTTTAATAAGTCATTTCTTAGAGATCGATTTCGAGATAAAAATTAGCGATAAAATAGCACGACGTTTCGACCTCTCCAAGGTCACTTTCAAGTGAGTAAAAGTTTTCTAAATTAGCATAAAAATGTTGAAAAAGTTGAAATATGTGAAAATGTGGCGAACGCTAAAATGTGATGAAATATGTAAGAAAGTGCTAAAAATATCTATGAGGTAAAAACAATGGAACAATAATAACAAGAACTACTTACATATTCGATCACATTTTAGCGTTCGCCACATTTTTAGCCGTTTCAACTTTTTGTACATTTTTATGCTAATTTAAAAAACTTTTACTCACTTGAAAATAACCTCGAAGAGGTCGAAACGTGCTTTTTTATCGCTAATTTTTATCTCGAAAATAACAACATTCACTGCAATTTCACATAATCAGATAGAAAAGATACGCTACTTGAGTCAGAATAGAGTAATTTTCAAATGAGAATCTAAAATAATCCATGATTGCTGTGGTTTTGCTTTACTTCGTTGCCCAACTGGTCCAGGAAACTCGCACCACTTTCCTAACCAATTAGATTGAAAACTAAAGGAACCAATCACAACTTGGCCACTTGCCCTTTCCCGCGCTTCAGGCAGTTTGCATGTTTTTACTTTGCGTTCTCATTGTTTCGTCGTAAACTTTTTCTTTGTTTTGATTGGGTGATAGAGACTCTATGTCCCACGGGAATGAACGACTCCAACGTGTCGGGTCGGATGTCTTCATATCACTTCGACTTTCACTAGTGACCACTCATTTGACTGGCTCAAAAGAAATCTAGGTTATCTGAGGGATGATCTATATTTACGACTATATCTCACACTTAGCTCACCTTGGCGTTTGGAGCAATTTCCTCGATGAACACATTCTTCTCCCACGGATGCCACGTACCAAAGGTTGACTTATCGAAAAAGAAGTCATAAATAACTCCTTTTCCAGGAAACTGGTAATTCTTGGGCAGCTTTAAATCTTTGGGTCTAAAGTGAAAAAAGATGTAAACGCCTGCACTAGCATCCACTAGATTGTTAAAAGATTGATTCTTAGTTCTCTAAATGTTTTGGTTGCCATTTTCTCTCAATAACGTTCGCATCACTTTCCAATAATTGTTCGCGGAATGGGGTAGTAGTATACATCGTCATATGTCCTTATCGAGAACGTAAGCGTTTGTCTGAAAGTAAGCTGCTAAACGCATCGAATATGACCAGTTCCTCTCCCTGCAATAAAAGTTCATTTATCTCAACACAAGAGAAACGAATTTAAACCTTTGGTGTTGTTTGTTGGTTCCCGCTGCTAAGACTTTAAAGAAATCACTGAACTTCAGCCTGGAGTCAGTGTCTAAATTTCCGCCGATTGACCAACACAAAGCAAACAGAAAGAGGGACTGGAGCCATTGCAAAATCTCCGCCTCAGTCTTGGCCGGTTTCTCGTCCATAACTCCCTCAAACTCCTCCTCATCCATGACGGTCTTTTTCTTTTCCTCTTCGGGTGGCTCTCTATTTGCAAAAATATAAATGGGATAAGTCAGTGATCAACCAAGAACATCTGGGAAGAACATGTAAAAACCCCGACGAAGCCTGAGTTTATTTCTCGGGACACACTTTCTGTAACTGCTTGGTTTCAGTTTATCTGCCTAGATACGTTCGTCGCAAAAAAAAAAATACCTTGCCCTTACTCTTAGCCAAGAGCCAGTTGGCCATTTTACCTCAACTCATCCAACAGAATGGAGTATATGCTTAACATGGACTTGACCATATGCATTGGTGACGTGCGCACCAGTTCACGGCATTGTCTTATGACGAAATCCACGCACGGGGCAATCAACCAATCAAACATCATCTGGATGGAAACAAAACATGATAAGAAACCATAGATACTATTTTAATCTTGCATGGTCCCTTTATTGCTTAAACCAGCTCCATAACCACTTTTTCGGTTAAGGGTTCAAAGGATTTCACAAAGTATGACGACACCTATGGTTTCTTAAACCAGTTTAACCAGTTTCTTAAACTGGTTCAAGCTGGTTTGAAAAACCATAGATGTTGTCACGCTTTGTGAAATCCCTCAAACCCTTAGGCAAAAATAAGGATGATTAAATTCTTGCTGCTTCGTTGCAAAAATCTAACCCTGACCTGTATCGAGTTCTTGCTAGCAAGGCTGAGGTTTGCAGGATATTCCTTCTCCATCCACGAAGCGACAAGTGGCTCCCAGCCAAGCTGACCCGGCTCCATGTAAATCATACCACATCTGAAGCAAGCAAAGAATTCTCTAAGTGGCGGATAGAAATGATGATAACAATAATGATGGAAATTTAGCGGTAGACATGAGCTGTCTCTTCTTGACCAGTGCTTTCAAGTTTAGGCGAAATTTGGAATGTAGTTTTTTGTGGAGGGAGGAGAAGCGAAGGAATGAGAGAAAAACTGCCGGAGCAAGGAGGAGAACCAACAACAAACTCAACCCACATGTGACGTCAGGTCCGTGAATCGAACCCGGCCCACAGCGGTGAGAACTGAGCATTCTCGCCACTAGGCTATCCCCGCAATTACTCCGAGGATTCGCCGAAGATAAACTCCTCCGCTATACAGCCGGAACCGTCCAAAAAGGACCCGAGCATGACCAAAAGCAAAGAAAGAAATAAAACAGACACGTTTTCTGTAAGTGAAAGGGAAGTAATAAAGTCAGCTTGTGATGAAAAAAAAAATGGTGTCTCACCTGCTTACTGTTGCTGGTGAAGCCTGCTCCAGGTCTTGAGGTTCAAATATCATGTTCTGTAGAGAGCTCATTTGAATTATCTCCCCACTCATCAAGCACAACTGCAAAAATATGACAGATATCAATTTGTTTCTGATGATGTCGGCCTTAAAATGGCGAGGTGGTATTTAACCTGGTCGTTTCGTACCGACGGACGTTTCGTACTCAGTCGATTTGTACCCAAATTCAGACGATTCGTGTCCAGTTTGGTACTGGTCGGCGAGGTTATCTAATGAACCTCCTATATAGCGTGGCTTGCCAACGAGTCCCTCGTAGCTAAGTTACTAAAGTATCTAATTATATACTCCAAAAAATCTATCGTTCCCGCGGATTTGTCAATGACGAACGCGTCAGTAGCTAATAGAGTACAACACACAGTTTCTGTTATGCATCCACTCAAAATTAAGGTTGTTTAGGATAATTAAAACATGCTAAATCTGCCTCCTGCCATTTGGTATCCTAAAAAAAACACTGTATTTATTTACAATGTTTGTTTCCAACTTGTTCGTGATGGCCCTGAGAAACCCCATTTGGGTAGTGGTCAACTGTATACATACAAATACCAACAGTTCATGTCCTCAATTGCCATCTTTCGAACTTACCACGTTCCTGTCAGCAACAGAATCAATAGGATCTTTGTCGATATAAAAGTACCTTTTTGTTGTCGTCAAGCACTGTATTCATGTTCTCAATCCACACTGCATCAACTGGCCCATCAAAGATGATCCATTTACGCTCCTCGCTGACTGAACTTGCGTGTTCACGGAAAGTATTGGCAAGTACCCCTGGAAATGAATTAAGTATGTAAACCATAGAAATGTAAATATATGAGTATAACCTTGGCGCAAAAATTGTTATCATATAGGGAGGGCCATTAGTGTGGAACTCCTTGCCACCCGAATGCGGAGTCTTGGCAACTTTTAAACACAACTTGAGGAGTGACCTTCTAAAGAGTTTTCTGAGTAGAGATGAACCCTTTTTCAGAGTTTTCAGTAACAGTTGACAGCTTATTTATGATAGTTTCTACACATGTAATAAAGAGTCAATTATTTTTCACTTATTAATCTTTTTAATCGTTTTTGTAATTAGGCCGGAAGATCCCCATTGGCGAGTCTTAATAAAGATATTGCATTTAAGGTAATAATCACAAGTAATCTTTCCTTGAAACAACGAGGAAATCAATTCATGAAATAAAGCAGTTACCGTCTGACCATTCGTGTGACACGGGATCAAATCTTCCATACAACTGGCCCATGGTGACAGCCTTGGGGTTAATGATCCTGTACTGAACCTATAAGAGATCATGGTTTTCTGTTATCTTCATTTCAATACTTTCACTGACTTTGTCAATACACCGTATTTGTCAGCAATGAGTTAACTGGTAAACCGGAAACGAAAAACGAGGTGACACGTAACGTGGTCATCACGCGGAACATCACGCGGTTTTCTCGTATTTTTTACTGTACATTTCTTCCTCTTTGTCTCTGTAATTTGGTCTCTCTTAATTAATATTTGTAACATAAACCATAATTCGTCCATTCATCAAAACCATCAAGTACAGAGACAGAGCGAGGCATTGTCAAAGTTGATTACTTTGGTCGAGGACAAAACAATATGATTAGTTGATACAGTACCAAATTGTCGAAATTAACATCGAAAGAATTGTTTGGGAGGCAGAAAGGAGAATTATTAATAAGAACTTCAGAGGGAAAGGGTTTAAAACAGACCTCCACTGAACGGAATCAGGGAAATGTGGTAACTAAATGAAAACACGTACTAATCGATATTGCAAGGATATCCAAAGACTTGCAGAGGGAAAAAAAACCGAGGTCATTGACCTGACATACCCCAACTTCATCTGAGTCTTCATCTTTACCAAGCTCAGTCAGGGCTGCAGCCAGAACCTTCCACGCTGACGTCTTTCCGCCGATGGGATCCCCCACGATCATAAAGCCGTGACGGACCAACATCATCTCGTACACCTTACAAAGGAAATATATACTCCAAAAATCATTTTGAGAAAAATAACATAACACTCCTAAAGAGAAGCTTTCAAGCCAGTTTCCGGATAAGAATGGGTAGGAGCTTAAAATCTTACGGTTCCTCTGGCCTCTAGGCTCCAATAAAGATCAAACTCTGTTCCAAAAGATTGCGTGTTAATCATTTGATTTTGGTGATTTCTTTTCATTGTAATACCTAGTTTTGCGAGTGGTAGAAGATTTGTTGTTAATAACCTATGGGCTCAATTTATTTCCAACCATTCCCCTTAAGACGGCTAAAAGATTCGAACAACAAGAACCAACCATCTTAGAGCTCTCTTTCTTCCTGCTTTGCTTCAACCACTAACGCCTAACTTAGAAAAGAAAACTATTTACTCATTTCAAGGTTAAATCTCAATCATACAGCAAAGAAAACTCATGATTGATGCCAATCAAGAGTCGTCGATGGCTTGGTAGGGCTTCGAATAATTAAATTTGTTTTTAACTTTCTCATTCTTAAGGGAAAAATTTTTCATTTTCTTTTTAATCCCGTAAATTGTAAACACACCTGTACAACTTTTTCAACAAACCATGGTACCGCCTGTAGTCCCATCTTCACGCTGTTCCGTCTGAGTGCCTCTTCCAGGACACCGTGGTCAGGAGATGGCAGAGTGATGCCTGGGAACAAGTCTGACACAATGCCTTCAAACAAAGGCAAGTCTTGTGATAAAAACTGAAAGGAAAATAAGACAAAAGAAGAGATCTTAAAGACAAAAGAAGAGATCTTTTCTTCATAACCATTCTCAATTAGGACGAAAATAAAACAACAGGCGTGTGGCAGTTCCCAATTCTTGCCGCCACTTTTACTTTGAGGATTTTAATTTTTTACTCCAAAGGTCTTGAATCACCGTAAGTTTATTTCAAAACTACTCAAAATTTCGTCTTATGTTTTAACAAACCTTTGGCAAGTTGACGTCCATGATGGACCTTAGCAACAAAATATCCTCGTCTTGTTCAGAATACTTCAGTTTTAAATTTCCTGCGGCAGTGAGAACAGACTTGACTGCTCGCATACCATAATCATAATGATGCTGAGAGGAAAGCTGCCAGAGAAAAATATACGATAGTATGAAAAGTCGATGACAGAAATAATTATGACATCCTTTTCTCTCTTTACTGAGTGATGCAATTTTACTGGTATTCAACAAAGAACTAGTACTACAGGTGAAGGCTGTGGAGTAGTGGTTCGCGCAGTAAAATCCTTCAGGCAAGACACTTTACGCTTACAGTGCCTCTCTCCTCTCGGGAAAAGGCCAACTGCAGGGAAACGTGACAAAATGCGGAGGAGAGGAGGTGTTATCCCTGCGATGGACTGACATCCCCCCCAGGTAGGAGTAGTAATATTCCAAGCCGCTACATTCCATAGAAACAAGCGCCGGAAGTGGGAGCCCTCTGCCTCAAACTATATGACTGAAACATTGAGCTTAAGTAGTTTCGCCTTTGGTTCAGTCAAAATCACATTGCTTGACTTGAGAAAAACATCACATACACTTAATTCCACTTTACTCACAAACGAAACGATTTAAGACAAGTCACAAACCGTTGATGTTGGCTTCAACGAAACATTCGTCGCACTTTGTATAACATAATAGTAGTTTACTTTATAATTTGAATATATCAACAAAGTTGAAATGGTAAATTGGCCACCGTTACGATTATAAAAGCTGACGTTTCGAGCGTTAGCCCTTCGTCGGAGTAGTTTACTTTAGTTTATTAGCTTCGCCGACAGGCAGGGACTCCGCAACAGCTTACGCCATTTACCGCGCGCCCAGTAAACAGGCGAGACCACATCAGAGTACTCTCGAGGGTGGGTTTTTTAACGTCCCCTGCCTAACCAAATTAACTAATTAATAGATGCAGGAGACGGGACGTACGGTTTATTCGTCCCTATCCGAGAAGACTAGAATGTCTGTCCATTTCTTGATATTATATCAAGGTCGCACATTCTCCTCGGTTATTTTATAACCTTGAGTGTTGGTCCTGCCGGGGCTCGAACCCTGGACCTTCCACACACCAGTCCGGCGCTCTAACCAATTGAGCTAAGAAGTACTGTTGTTACCTGCTCGGAACAGAGCCTATACACAGCCACAATCTTTGCCGACAGACTCCTGGCGTTAACAAAGCCCATGGAATATAAACTGATCTCACTAATCAGGGCATAATCAGGAACCATCATGGCGACTGTGCGGAAAAGAACCTGCAAAAATAACCACTAACGATATTACATGCGGAGGTCACTTTACATGAACCTCTTCTGATACTTAATTAAATTAGTGAAAAACAAAATAAACTAACAAAATAAACATACCAAATCTCTTATCGACTACTTGTCATTTTCCGAAATGTTTTTCACTCCAGTCATACCTTATGTCGCGGAATTATGCGATAGGTAGTGATTTGTGGAAGTCATTCAGTGCCAAGCCAAGCCGCACATTCGCAGCACTTTTCTTTACTTAATCTATTATTGTAAGTGAGGTGGCTCTCCCATAAGCCTGGTGGCTTCTTGGGTCTCCTCGCCTTCTAACTGTTATCGCTGTAATTAACTATTTTTTAACTGTTAAAATAAGGCAAACAAAGATGATGATGATAATCTGTGTCAGGTGACACTTAATCGTGTGACTTGAGTGACTAGTATCTAATTTCTCCTTACAACATCACCTCTGAAGTACTTCGTGGTCACGAGAATAAACGCAATGATGGCCAACTAAAGAATACTTGACGTTCTTGATCGATAAACAAATTCTCCTTGTTAGTCCGACGAAGAACAGTATGGAATAACATGCATAATGATCTTTATGTGTGCACGGTTAATAGGCACTGTTTTAGTTATTGCAAACTTCCAAAACCCTACAGTTTGAATAAAAAGAACAAAAACACAAACAACACAGCGCTTGCGCCAAACTCTCTTTAATTCCAATAATTCTTCAAATTATCGAATCATCTCTTCATTTACCTTCAGATTATCAGGGAGCTCTGCACGGCCAGCGTAACCAGGGTTCATAGTTATGAAGATGGTACATGACGGATCCAGAGAAATTTCTGTTCCCTCAAACACAAACTTGTCGACTTGTTCCATGACGGCCCTTTGTATTGTCAAAATCTGTTGTGCTACAACCGACAACACCTGCACAAAATCATCAAGAGCAGAACTTCAATTGTTTTTGTTTTCAAACCACAACTTGACTGTACTGACATTTGCGGGAGTTCTAGTCAAACTGTCTAAATTGTAAACGAAACCAAAGGAAATTAAAGGTTTTCAAATCACCTATCTGGCTTAATAACATAATGACCATAGTGCGCATTGTCTGATTGGTCAAATCAGTTTCCATGCGGATGCTTTATCAGGTTATACAGCCCGCACGTAACTAGTTATGCCTTAAAACAATAGAACGCGCTCTACAGCGTGATAAAGCCACTTGGGAAGTTGAGAGAACACTTGGAAAGTTTATAAATCATGAGCCGAAGGCGTGTTCCTCGTGTTCTTCCGACATTCTACGTTGTAAAGACCGGAAAAATGCGTTCTGTTGCTTAATTAGTAACGTAATTCTAAAGGTTTGCAGTTATAGAACACAGTTTGATCCTAACTTTAAGACTGACTCACTTCCAGCTCTATCCTGTTAAACTCGTCGAAACAGGCCCAGGCCCCTGCCTGTGCGAGACCTTTGAAGAACTTTCCCATGGCTTTGTAGTCCAGTCCATCTGAGCAGTTGAAAACAACGCACTAGAAGTAGTTCAACAGAAAAAAATGAGTGAGTAACTTTATAATCTTGAATTACAAGCCTAGAAAAATAACAAAAAAACAGTAAATTCCATAAAACGCAGAAAGATTTAAATCTGCAACTTTATCAATACCTGCTTAGCAACAGCTTTCGCCAAATCTTTACATGTCTCCGTCTTCCCCGTACCAGCAGGTCCCTCAGGGGCCCCTCCCAGGTTCAACAGGAGAGCACCCATCAAAGTCCTATAACTTGGAGGAAAATCTAAATTCAGTTATCGTAATCGGAATCGGCAGATCCAAACCACGAAGTATTTCATACCATAGACTCAGGCGATTTAAAGCTAACCGCACTTACCTGTAACATCTGTCTGTTAAAGGAGTAATGACCAGTCTTCCACTGTTGCCAAGGTATTCGTAACCATATTTGACCGCTGTGGTAATCATCCTTACAATAACAGCCTTTGTTTCCCAGTAGTAACGCAACTGACTAATCCATTGAAAGTCGTTAGGGTTTGTCACGCCTTCCTTCTTCAGCTTAGCTACCACGTCACGCGCTGACGAAAAGAAGCAACATGTCAAACATAATCGACAAAGGTGCTGATGGGCAGAACGCTTTCTGATTAGGTGTCGTTAAACCAAAACTACAGCAGTCACATCGGCTAGTCAGGATTTAAGGAAGAGACCAATGAGAGTCAAAGAAAATAAATTAAATCAGCGTCAAACTACTGTAGAAAAAAGGCTGATAGTTTCTAAAGAAACTGTTTGGGGCTGCGTCGGTGGGGGTAACGAAATAATTTGAATGTATCAACAAAGTTGAAATGGTAAATTGGCCACCGTTACGATTATAAAAGCTGACGTTTCGAGGGTTAGCCCTTCGTCGGAGCCCTTCGTCCTATTCGCTCCGACGAAGGGCTAACGTTCGAAACGTCAGCTTTTATGATCGTAACGGTGGCCAATTTACCATTTCAACTTTGTTGATATTTTCAAATTATACTGTAGATAAAGGCAAGAAACCATGTCACGATTACTCTAGTTTTCATTTGTTTGAATGAAGAAGGTGGTACAAGTTTTCTGGGAAAATCGCAGGGCGAAGTTAGCAACGTTTTGCTGCTATTAGTTACTTTCTCGTTATTAATCGAGCAGATCCAGCAAACTAACATTCCCAACCTTTATTTGGTGGATTTCTAGCATCGATTTCAACGTTTGATTCATAAAACCACTCCATGATCTTTGGCTAAATAGTCCGGGAAAACTATTGTGTTGTAAATCAAATCGGCAGTGTGTTTTTTTCTCGTTTTACCTACGCTTTCGGTTGATCATACCACAAACGACATGACAAAGAAAATACGTTGGTGAAACAGCCAATCAACCGACAAATCTGCATCTATCACTTTTAACTTCAAGGAGTGTTTGTGTACACTTCACAGTCCTTGTTCAAAAATATAAAGTTTTCAGCACAGTCCTAAACTTAACTAACCATGCACATCAATCACAATGAGAGCTCCTAGAGTGATCCGGGACATGGTGGACAACTTTCCTCGCACAAGTCCGACGATATCTTCTATCTGTTGAGTGCTTTGTTTGTAATAATCTTCTAAGCCATCTTTCTGTATCATCGCCTGTAAAACCAATATATCACGGCTAAAGCACTCCCTACGAGTCTTTTTTTCCTTTCTTCACTACGAAATCTACTAATAATAAATCCACTGGCCTTAGGCAAACGATAAAAAGTTACCTAATCTTGGTTTCAGAGAAGATTAGGGATCATTCATTATTTATAGCCTTTGGGAGTCGGGGGATTTTGTAAGAGATCAGATGGTTTTCAAAGGAAACGGAGGGGAGAGGGGTAAACTGTACCAAAATCTCACATCCCCCGCGATAAATAATGATCAGTCCGTTGAAGGCTACTAATAAAAAAAACGGGAGATCGATCAATAAAATGTTGAGTACAACAGTCACGGTGAGACACAGTTCTCTTGGGGCACTTACTTACTTACTGATTCTCATTCAATTAAAAACTCAATCAACAATAAAATGATACTCAAAGTTTAAAACCATTTTTTCTGATTGGAAAATTTCTCCCTTCCAGCTGGTATATAATTAAGAGAATTTACTGTTACATCTAGATAACACCGTCTGCCCGTACATTTGTCGATTTTCGTTATATTACCTGATTGCTGGATGTTAAACTGAAATTGTGAGAAGTAGTGTCTGTCACTTCTGCAAGTTAGGGTGTTCAGAGAGTTGGTAAAGCGGGAGCATGACAAATATGCGCTGAACGCTGCTTTTCCTATTTATCTTATTCTTTTCCTTCTTTAATCACACAAAGGGGTTCCTTAGTGGTTAACAGTACGTCAACCTTTGGTATCCTACCTGAGTGACTTCCTTAGTCCAGTAAATGATGCTGGAGGCAAGCACCACCTGTCCTGGCCAAGACAATACCCACTCTGTCCTTGGGTTCTGTGGATAGGCGGTAACCGCTTCAGACATTACCTCTTGCAGGCTCAGTTTCATCGTTTGTTCGATCTATTCATACACAACATCGGTGAATGATTTTAGTTCAACACTGGCATCCAACCTACGTTTATTTGTTTATATATCTATCTTTTCAAGGATAAATTACATTGAAACTCGGAAAATGTACGCAGTCTTAGATTGACAAAGTATTCCATACCTGTAACAACCATTTCTCGACAAGACCACGAGCATGCGCAGGCACCACCTTCTTGGAGAACTTCACAGTCTCTCCTTCAGCTGATATCATAGCACTGATCTCTTTCCTCTCATTAAATTCCAACTTTGCAATACCTTCAAAACACTTCTTTAGATGTGGCTGAACACGCAGAGGATCTTTCGTCTCGGATAGAATTTCCAGTAACTCGTCATTTGAAAGGAAGAAAAATCTGCAAAATAAATATCAAAGTTTAAATCACTTACACTCCAGCCAGGCGCGGTGGCTTGGTGATTAGCGCGCTGAACACTGGGTAACTCTGTACGTTCTTTTTCAAGACACTTCACTCTTAATGCTTCTTTCAGCGCAGGAGCACAAATGGGTACCAAAGAACTAAAAAAGGATGTTACTCTAGAAGCACTAATAATCCTGATTGATTCGTGCCTTCAAAGATGGAGATATTATTAAAGCAAAAATCAGCCGCCCAGAAAGCAACACAATTTTACTTGTGTTGAACTACTTGAACAAGGTAGCAAACACATTTACATATCCCGTGCATGGCTGAAATTTTGTAATTCAGAGAGAAGAAAGAGGAATCGAAAACGTATGCTGCCGCCAAACACCTCATGTCAGCGTAAACTGTAAGAAAATTCATTTGAAGCAAGCAATCGGAGATCTGTTCCCAAACTCACGATGGGCGAAAAAGATGTAAACGGATGCATAAGTCAAAATTCGATTATGGCAGTAAACCGCACCTTGGAAAAAACAAGCGTTTCTTCTCCAAATACTCGTTCAATCCTTTCTGTATGTCTTCAAGAAGGCTCTGCATAAACAAGTGAGAAGAACACAGACCTCTGAGAAAAAGAAAATTTTAAAAGGACTATATAACACACATTTCTACATCTTCTACCGACCAGCACCTATATAACTAAAATCTTTAGGAACGGAAGGACGCAGTTGTTACCTCTGAGAGCTGAAGTTTGTCCAACATTTGGGGCTGTCGTGTTACTACTAAGGCTCGAGGATCTTTGACTGATTCAGTCATTATCTTCCTCCTGGGTAATTAAAAACGTCAGTACGGCTCGTAAAATTGGTATAAAGCCTACCTGTTGCTAGGGAAATGCTGTGGCCTAAAGTTATGTACGCTGGACTCTGCATGGATTCCGCTGGGTCAACGTGTGTGTCCTTGAGCAAAATACTTTACTCTCACAGTGCCTCTCTCCAACCATGAGTGTAAATGGGTACCGGTGAACTGTCAGGGAAGCATGATGAAATGCTGGGGGGGGAGGGGAAGGGGGTAACCTTGCGATTAAATAGCATCCCATACAAGGCGGAGACATGATACCCCAAGTCGCTTCGTGCTAACGAAGCCAGGATAAGCTTAGGCTGGATTGGCCACCTGGCTCGAGTAGAGACTTTATACTCATTGTTGGGAATTCGAAATCATGTATGCGCGACGAGAACGTGAGGCCAAATGAAAATTATATATTTCCTCGTGTAAGAACTTACGCGATAGCGAAAGTGAAAGCATGGCTGTCTGGTGCCTCCCTGAGTAGCAACATGGATGTGTAAGGTTAAACAAGGAATGCTGGAAGAATATTGCGCATGGAAACGCTCAAGCAAACCTACAACTGAGTTTTCATATTTTCTCTCGGTTTTCAAAGTATATTAGAAGCCACCACTAAGATTAGTTCATATATGGAAAAAGACATTATGTAGAGGGGGATCTCCAAATTCAACCCTTAAGAGTGTCTAACATCTCATTTCTCCTTACAATATCCACCCAGAATCAAACAATAAGGTCACGAGAATAAAGGAAATGATCACCAACTAAAGAAGTTCTGGATTCTGAAACACATTCTCCTTGTTAGCGCATTAGAATACCTGTAAAGAACAGTATGGAGAATATGCATACTGAAGTTAGGCACTAAAAGGTGAATGTTAGTATCCCCTGAAAGGGAGGGCGGAAGTAAAAGAGATGTCAGAGAAATACTATTTTCTACCTCTATGCAGCATTCCCAGAACTGGTGAAATTTCGATTTAATAGTGTACACCTGAAACCCACCAGTATTTGTCAACCGTCCGTAATTTTTCTCCTTCCTCTGGCATCTGAGCTTGAATGTCCTCAGAACAAAATATGGGCTCTAAATAAAGCCATGAAGCTTGCACCTGCGACACAAATGACAACTTTAAATCCAGGATCAAGACAAGTCATGCACATCCAGTGTTAACCTACGTCAATTTTGTACTCTATACTCGCTTTCTCGTATCACAACATTCCAATTTTCAAAACCTTTTTAATAGAACAGTAGTGTGCGCCATGAAATCAGAAGTAGACACATGATCCTCTGAGAAACTTTTTGCAAACAAACATTACCTACACCACTACCTAAAAGATAGAATGCAAAACAAACCTTCAGCCACGACTCCACAATATCTTGCATTAGATTCTAAAAAGAAAAAGGCAGCTCAGGCATGGCTGACTACAAACGTTTGGCTACATAACGCAGGTATCCGAAAAAGCAATTAATTGATAAATGATGCTTGACAATACGAGTCTGTTTGTCTAGACCCCCCTCCCCTTCCACCACTCAAGTTAGAATCCATCTAGATACCAACCAACCCTCTGTCTTACAGATATCACACACTCACCATCTCACCATAAAAGAGTATTGACCCAAAAATTGATAAGAAACAATAAAAAAACAAAACGGGTCACTAACCAGTTTGGTTTCCCATTCTTTTAATTCTGCTTCAAAAGGAACAACGAACGGAGAGCCCTTCATTGTCAATGTTTTCACTATGTGGTCATCAAGTAAGACCTAAAAACAAAAAAAAGCAAAATTCTGTTTCAACCAAATACGCAGGATCTCTTCTATCTTGTTTCTTTATATCGTGCAGTTCCCATGCAAAATTACCAATCTGTCCGGTGTGTTTGTGCAGCTGACATAAATAAGGTGTTAACCGTGCAGTATTTTTAAAATTCAGTTACAAATCATATAACCAATGTTTTCCAGCGCCTTCAACGCTTTCACAACATTTGACCACAAATACTAATCACTGACCTGCAGATCATCCACAGCTGACAAGATACTGATTCCTGTGTCTTTGTATTGAACAAACACAAACTCGATGTCTTTCCATTCTTCTTTCATTCTGCTCAGTGCCTGTTAGGGGAATATGCAGTTAGCATAAAACTAACTGGTTCAAAAGCATGGTTTTTACTCCTTCGAAAGAGGTTTTCAGGGATAGGCTCGTAATCATTGGGATGATGGAGAATGTACATCTATGGAAACTAAAACATTAAAACTGAAACATTTTTTTTTTTGTTTTCCTTCAATTTGGCCAGTAAGCAGGGGAGGGGGTCAGGGTTTATATCCAAGAGGAGGAATATATGTGGAAATTTCAGATGTTTTGTTATCTTTGTTTCAGGACCTATGTTTTGATGCCGAATCGTATGAATCGTATTATGTTACGTTGCGATACAAGTTATAATTCTTATCGTTATGAATGTTGAAATTTAGGGAAGTTGTTTCAGAAGTGTGCAAAGCAACTGAATTACAAAACAACAGATCAACTCCATGAACCAAGAGTAGAAATATCCATTGTGAGTAAACAATACTCAATGCTATATTGAGGCACAAAGACTGCATCGAGACTTATCAAAACTTGTACCAAATTGACTGTCAGTACACAATACTTGATGTTATATGAAAGACCAAACAATCCAATTTCTCCAGACTACACTAACTGGTCGTAAATGTAGATTACACACACCTTCTCCAAAGAGAATTCTTTTGCTGCTCTTCCACTGATCTCAGTCAGTTCTTCTACAAACTTGTCAAGACCGAGGACTAACATCTCATTTAGAGTAGTGTCTTCTTTCGGAGCAATATTAAAGCCAATCTGATTTGAAAAGCATAAATGTAAATGTAAGTTTCCCTCGCGGTTATTCAGCAGAAAGAAAAGGTATACAGAATCCGAGGGATATTCTCATGTGATATTCCCTTGTAAGAATTTTCAAACCTTAAGTCCGACACGATGAAAGGTTTTCGTTTAAATTTTCGCGGTTGTCTCCGCAGAGATTAGTTAACCTTGATTTTCGATGAAGCCGTAAAATAATCAGTAAAAATCAAAATCTACGCTGCAAAAGTTTTCCAAAGTAAGTAGCTGTATTGGCAAACGTTTCGTCATAGGCACGAAAAGAAATATTTGAAGGATGGTGAACACAGTTTGCCTCATAGTTCCCTCAAGCTTCACTTTTGCAAAGCCCTTTGCTACTCTGAATAGTTAACGAGCGCGGACAAATATTCGAGCTCCTGGGGTGAAGAATGGAAGCTTTAAATGTATTGTACCTTTACACTCATTGCTTCCCAATGTCTCTCCTTAATTCCAGGTGTACACAATGCGTTGATCAAAGGCATGTTAACCTTAAAGTTTTCTAGTCGCGCTTTTACTGTAGAGGCCACTCTAAGAGGTCCACGAAACTCTGGGTGCGCAAACTCTTTCGTCAGCTTGTAACTTGTTCTCCAAAGCTCAGAAACCTGTGAAGAATTTACGATAAAACGTTAATAAATGTACAACGTAAATGTAGTAAAGTACATGCTTCAAATCTTGAAATGATAACCACGTCAAGCGGGTTAAAAAATTTTCCGAACTTTGTGTGATTTTACCGACTTCCGCAAATGTGTTATGTTTTCTCGACCATTGGCGGGAAAGAGGTTACAAGCTTGACAAACTTCAAAAATCTCCAAAATCAGAACAAAAATTAATCTGCAGCGTTTAAAATGGTTAACTGTACACTGTTAACTGTAAATTCTACACCTGTTCCTCAATCTCTTCTGCATTCAGTGTTAAGATCGGCCCAGCCAGCCACATTTCTTGCTTGTCCTGGAATGTCACCAGTGCACGCCATAACTTGTCAAAGGGCTCTTTGGCGTCAATTATCTCCTGAATCTGAGGAAATCCACTGTACACCTCACAACCGAGTAAATCCTCCTCCTTGTTAATTTTCTTTCTCTGGAGCGACGAAGAAAACATAAACAGTCCTTGACTGACTATCAGTTCACGTCTAAGCGGTGACTAACCTCTTGCTTATGCAATTCAGTAGGTTTACAACTTAAATGCAAATATTACGACAATCAAAGAGCGATCGATCAATGATGCACTGTGCTTCTATAAATGGCCCAAGTGTTGACCTCTTAAGGATGTTTAGCTTATCCAGAAGTCACTCAAGAGTCTCAATAGGGGCATAGACGAGGTTCTCAATGAAGTTATATCATGCGCAAAGTATTAGCGCTTGAGTATGAACGACTCGTAAAATTCCCGTTCTAAGCAATTGAACAGTAACTTTTTACGGCAGAAGTAAACTTACTCGTCAAAATGACTTCAGCACAACACATTCATCCTTCCCAAAAGACCACCAGTGACTCATTTTGGTGTCATTTTGAAATAATTGTATCAAAAAGGGTGTTATCCTTCGGTCGCTTACAATTACTGCACAAATGTTATCTAAAGGTAAGTTTGTGCGATACATTTAACAAGAAATGTACGATTTTTTTAATTCTCTTATACCATAGGTTGAGAGACAATTCTTACACTAAGCGTTGGCCGATTTGTACAGAATTGACGTTGTTTATGCATTCAAGATTTGTTGTTTACCTTCGTAAAAATACTAGCAACGCCCCGAAAATAACCAAGGTAACCAAGCAACTCGTAAAAATTTAACCAACCACCATACGACAAAAATTACGTTGCCTTTTTCACTCTCATTAAAAACTCATTTAAAGAAATCTAACTCAAAAATCTGGTTGACGCAGCTAGCAAGAGCACACTAAACGCAATCTTGCAATAATGGATTGCCATTTTAGTTTGTTTGAAACTCCTATACCTCGTCGAGAAACTCTTGTACTTTATCTTTAAGTTCCTCCAACTGAACCACGTAAGTCTTCGCCTCAGATATCCTATCTTTAGAGTGGAACTCTTTCACACTTTGAAGAGTCTCGTTCAACTGCACCTCAAACCTCGCCAGCCAATCAAACAGTTTGTTCATGGCTGTGTCGTGTTCCCTTGTAACACGATTTTCACTGAGGAGTACGAAATCAAAATCAGACACATGACATAGTACTATAATATAAGGTGCCTTCTAAAGCAACCTTTCCACAAATAACATTTTAACTCCCAGATGTGATTAACACGTAACTTCTCCCTGTTATATCCCTACATTATCCAGAAAACAGATAATGAGAATCTTTCAACGTAATAAGTCAAAGTTGTTATCTTGACCGAACAACAAATTCTCTTAACTAATTTACAAGAGAATGCGTAGCAGCGAGAAGGGAGAATTAACAACAGATTCTTCGGAGTTAAAGGGGTTAGGGTTAGAATACAAGTAGAGAAATTATAGTTCAATTAATAGTAGTGCCTAACAAGTATTCGAAAGGCATAGGTTTAGATCTCGTTGAAGCCGGTAAGAATTTTTTCAGGCTTCCTCTCGGCGATTTCCTTAATTGCAGCTCCCCTGCGAAGATCTTTTCTATACTTGAGAAACTTTTCCGTAGACCATATCATAGAACATTCCACAACGAGATCTGGAGCTCTGCGTTTCGAATTTTCACTAAAAGTTTTCTATATCAGACGCTGGAGACAAATTCACCCTACAATTATCTCTATTGTTTTCTTTTTCTCTCTCTTATTTGAGAAAAAGAACCCCCACATCATCAGAAAGTCAATTTCCATGGTGAAATACATAAAAAATTCTGAAATTCAAATTCACTGGTTTGCGCTGACCATTTATGGTAGAATTTAAGTTAACCACTATACCTCATTTTTATAATGGGAAAAATCCGTTCAGGCCATGTGAATGTGGTTTCATTGAGAGCCAAATGATCATCAGCAAGGAACGTGTGATCCATCAAAAACAGAACTAGATCTGCTGCTTCCTCAAGTTCCACCTTGTGCGGACAAATAACAGCAGAGCCATACACTCAGCGAACAACAGTAAGATCAAACTCATCTCTACATTCAGTAAATTCCCCCCAAACTGAAATCTCCGAAAACTTGATCGTAGATGGGTGATGGGGAGGAGAGAGGAGGAAAAGGGAGGGGGCAAGGGTGGGGGGAAGCAGTGGCGGATCCAGGAGGAGGGTCCAGGGGGTCCGGACCCCCTAACAAACCTACGTTTACAACTTTGAAATTGAAATTCTTACATCGACAGGATCGTATAGCACTTTTTAACTAGCAGATCTTTTCAATGAATCCAAGTAAACGGTAAGCGACCAAGGAATTATAACGTGTAACCGCGACTGGTGGGAGGGGGTGTGTGGGGAGTGTGTGGGGGGAGAAGTAATTTGCCTCAAAAGAGTCCAACAGTACTTTCTGAACCGAAGTTTGGACCCCCCAATCAAAAATTATTGGATCCGCTCCTGGGAAGGGAGGGAAAGGGAGGGGGGAAGGGAAGGAAAGGGAGGGAGGAAGGGAGGAAAAGGGAGAGGGGAAGGGAAGGAATGGCAGGGGGGAAGGGAGGGAAAGGGAGAGGGAAAGGGAGGGAAAAGGAGGATGGGAAGAGAGGGGGGAAAGGAAGGAAAGGAAGGGGTGAGGGGAGGTTGGAGGGTCTATCAGAAACCGCAGCCAACCCAAAAGGCAATTTTTTTTACGCCGAACCGGGAAAATTCTATCACACCAGTGAAGATTGTGAGCGAACTCTATCTTCCCTTGATATGGTCATACAAGGTGTCAATGATTGTAACACACGCCTTTGGATCAAAGATTTTGCGGTTCACACCGCCATATTCGGAGGGTTCAGACTAAATCGGAAACGTTTTTAGTAATAATCGGAAGTCGTCGGATTTTTAAGGGATATCCAGAAGATATGGAGACGAGAATCACACCCATTTGACTTAAAGTGTCCATAAACCCAAAAAATTTTTTGCTCAAATAAATCTTTTTTATAATTATCTGCAAAATGGCGCAAAAATTTTTGTTTTTGGTTGAAAGCCGAATTTTCTATAAATATTTTAATTGGCGGAAAATCGAGATTCCGTTAGAAAACCCATTACCGAGCAGCGGAACCTTCCCAAAGGGAATGGATCGAGTGTAATTCGTGACGTAAAACCCTGACTGTGAGCTTCGCGTGTTGTGGCTTCGTTCAGAGCTGAAGCCATGCCTGAGAGATGCGTCGTTTTCGGCTGTAATAATTTTCGAAGCAAAGAGAAAGGGATACTTCTTCATCCCATATCGCGGCCGGCAACTTACCAGTCTCGGACTTTTTCTGTACCATTTAGGCGCTTTTGGAGCGCCTTCTCTAGGGTCTCTTCCTCCTTTCTGTCTCGTTCATACAACTCTATCCATTCCTCGTCTGCTAGCGGATCGTCGCCATATGCCTCGTGCCTACCTTCCTCATCGCTGGCCGTAGAACTCGAGTTTAGTGAACCATCAACTTCCAAGTCGTAATCTTTCATTTCTGAGACTTCAGAATCTGAACTAGAGGTCGGAATGAAGTCGTACGAAGCAATTTCTTGATCAACGTGTGCGCAGAAAACAAATGTCAACCGAATAAAAATGGTTTTCAACGGCGCACAAAGAAAACTACGCGTCTCCAGCTCGCGTATTCTCTGTTGTCGGGGTTTTCGTCACTAGTCCCAGTCTCCCTTTTACTCGGTCGTGGGCAGAAAAAACCAGACTTAAAAAATTCATAAGAAATTCCAGATTTGACCAAAAACAAAACCCTTGCGCCATTTTCCTCAGAATTATAAAAACATTTATCTTAGCAAAAAAATTTGGGGGTTTATGGGTACTTTAAGAACAGTTGGCAGGTGTAACACAGTGAAACCAGTTTGCCAATCCTACCTTCAAATGAACTAAAGGTCCACTCCTTAGATTGTCAATATATTTCTCCAAATCCACAAGTTCATCAGTGGTCTTTGACGATGACGTTATACGATTAACAATGTAATCATACTGATGACAAATGGACCGATTGAAATCAAAACTCTTCCTGACTAGCTTTGACGTCATCATCCTTACCAGATCATTGGCACGCAACACAAGGAACTATCAACAAAAGTAATAAAAGATGCTAAATCAGTTCTAAAGAGCACGTGATAGTTAGTGGTTGTAGGGTGCAGTTCCAAACGTGGAGGGTGATTGAATGATCAAACCAAGAGCTACAGCTGTAATAAAGCTCTTGAGCTTGCATGTTTTCAAGCATAGAAATTATTCTCCCGGGTGGACTGCACTATAAGCAATTGCAGAACTGCAGGCTTCAACGGCATTTGAACCCGTATCTGCCCAATACTACCTGGTTTTATCTTTCCCGCAAAGGAATCTGCTTCCAACTACGAGGATCATATAGTTACTCGATTTTCATTCACAAGTCAAATGAAATTTCTTTCGTCAATGTTTTGTCTTCCCATTGAAGGTCTCAAGGGAATTTCCCCTCTGTCTTTTGTAAATCATGATTACATATGCTTTTACAGTAAGAGGAAATTAAAAAGAAACGGTTCTCTATAGAAGCTAAATAGGTCTGTTAAGCAACAACCAAACTTAATAACCTCTGAAACTCTCCGCCAAACCTCTAAATCTCTGTCAATGTCACTGATGACAGCTGTTGCTGCTAACTAGTTTTTGTTGCTTCAATAGACTTTTCAGTTAGCTCAGACACTTACTTAACTGTCATATCACGCGACATCAAACTTGTAAGGGAATTAGAATTACAAACAGAACAGTAGAAAAGAGGCGTCGCTACAGGGAAGGGGGGGTGGAGCACAAACACTTACCCATTGCCTTTGGAGATTACAAGTAAAAATTTACTTTATAACCCAGTGTTACCTCTTTGATTTTGGTGCAGTCCAACACGAAAAATTCCATGGGAATAAACAGATCCATAGAAGATGCCAAATTTGTAAGGTCGTAAACCTTTTGTAACTCGATGCCATACTCCACCAGGTGACGGTCAGAGGATGTGAATCTCATAGTTTTCACATCAGACTCTCTTGTTAGTAAGTAATGCAGTGGTTCATAAACTGATCGGAATCTTAAAATGAAGAAAAACACCGCAATATTCACTTTGCAGTAGATTTGTCCTATCACCGACTCTTTAGTTCATCCTCTTCTTTTCAAAAAAAAAGCCGAGTTTGTAGATAGTCAGTGTAGTACTTACTACAGCAACTTAGTAAGCGTCCTTGACTACGAATTGGTCGTAGTTTGCCATATTTTTATTGTGATGTGTGGAGTGAAATTGCAACAGTATCATAGCCCGTAGAACAAGCAGAACTATTTTTGCCGTATTTAGCAGAAACGACTGTGGGCGAACCGACGAAGAGCTGAAAAAAATTACGCGCAAGATTCGCCTTAAGTTCTAATGACGCTTTCCTCTGCTCGCCTTAAAAGACGCAAAAAAGTAAGGAGACTACTGACCAAATCAGCTTCGAGCAATTCTTATGATGTTAGTAGAGAGAATTTATTATTGGATCAATAATCAACAATTTATATTTATCAAGATTTACGCGGATTACAAATAACGACCTCGAAAAATCCGAGCCTTTTCATTTGACATGCAAAATTTCCTTTACGGTTCAGGAAACCACAAAGTATTAGTTTAGTGGTATGGAAAAACCAAAAATTTGGGAAGAAGAACCCACAGGGACACGAATGGTCAAAGATGGAGAATATTCATTTCGGATTGCAAATGAAGAACTTCGGCAATCGACGTTACATTTTTCAAGAAGAACCAACCGCAAAACAGATCGGTCATAAGAAATGTAAAGGAACGTGATGATCATGCACACAACTTTCCAAAGTTGCGACTTACTTGAGCGGCCCCGCGCTGTTTTTCTCCACCACATCAGCCACTCTTGCCTTGGCCTCCACAACTCTTTCTTCATCAAACTGTACACTACGGATATAACGCTTTTTTAGTCCTTCGTCTTCGTAGAAAAGCTGGTGCTCAACACGCTCGAGGGTTTGCACACTTTTCACCATGTGCTCAATGACTTCATGTAGGATTTCGGTCACATCTGAGAAACTCGGCTCATAAGCAACCGTGACCTCCTCTACTTCAGGTACCTTCAAATACAAAATAGGAATATTTAAAAAAAAATGGGTTCTAGAAAAGTGTGTTTATTGGTCATCGCTGTTTCAAAGTTGAATACACGATTGAGCAGTTTTCAACTGAGTGTCGAAAGTAATCCGGAACTGCATTGGTTTTGCGTCACTTCGCTCTGTGATTGGTCCAGAAAACTCGCGCCACTCTCTCGACCAATCAGATGCAAACCTGAACCCACTCACGACTTAGTCACTCGCGTTTTCGCGCGCTGTGTCCAATATGTCCGATTTGAGACTATGCACTGGTAGACTGTTGGTCGAAACAGCTACATACACCACAAATAATCACTGTACTGGGCGCGATTCTGATGAAACCATTGGTCAAAAGACCATAGTAACTAGACATCTTTTCAATCCAATTGAATGTCATGTCAAAACCAGTGGATACCCCTCCCAAATTTTCATAAAGGAAAGGCCGAAGTCCCCCTCCCCCCCCCCCTTCACCCTATCTACCAACCTCCGGTCCTCCCTTATGCAAAGGTGACGCTATACTGTGGCAAAACAAGACATAAGAAAGAGGATTCTAACATAATAAGCACATGCAAGTACAGTTTAGATGTGAATACTCCCAAAAATACTAAAGAAATATTACAACATTAACAGAGAAAATACAGACTTCTTACCACTGTAAGTACAATTGGTTGTGGTAGTATGGGAAGACTTCTTTCAAACGGCTCCGTAAAATCGTTTCCAAGTTTGTACATCTCTACGAACTGTACCAGGTCGTTAATAGAAGAATACACAGCACTGCGAAGATTGTGTGACATAAGAGATGCAATTGATGAGAAGAAATGATCCATCTTCTCCACTCTGGAAATCTAAAAATTTATTAAAAGATAATTTGATTGTTTGAAAGTTAACTTTGGTCTCATAAAATAAAGTTCCTGAGATAGGTAATAACAGGGCTTTTTAAAGGATTAATGTGCAGTTTGATGTGAAAATTGCATAAGCATAGCTTGACTGTTCTCCACTTGTCACCTCACTTTCAGCTCATTTCTTGTAAATGACAATTTTTTTTGTCCACAATATCACTGAACCTTAAGGCATTACAAGGAACAGCAAGAGTGAACTACACCACAGACTAGTGAGGAAAATATCAACAGAATGTTAATCTGCGTCCAAAGACAGCCTGTTCGTATATGCAATTTGTTACATTTACTGGCCAATTAAACAAGCACATGTGCACATGTTCGGGTACTTTCCCGTTGTCTCTCACTTCAGCAGACTAATTTTACACTACTAGTAGTTTCAATGTGAAATTGGGTAATGGCGTCAGCGGGATAATTTCAAAACACTCACACGCCAGTTCATTTGCTACCGTGACAGAACAAAAGACTGTTCCAAGTTCACCCAAATCTCCAAATTTTAATACAGTTGCTGTGCCATTAGATTTTGGCATACCATCACCGTTACTAGCATGTGGGTTAAAAGTATAAAATGAACCATTTGATTGACTTAAAATAGTCAAAGTGACATTTCTAAAAATGACAATTGCCTGCTTGTAAGTTGTGAAAGTATTTATCAAAGCTGAAGGAAAGGAAGGCAAGGATAAAGGGTGTCATTCTCATTGATCAACCTTTTTAAGCGATCCACATTTTGAATCTATGATTGCAAGCTTTTCTTTCGCCTCAAAGAGCAAATGTAATTCAATGGTCGAATTATTTAGGTGCATTTTACGTGATGTCATCACAAACACCCCAATTACAAAAAACGAAATCGACTGCGCATGTCTCTAATCATGTACCCCATTCATACCAAAGCCTAATCATGCTTTAAAGCTGTTTTGCTAAACATGATTTAACACAACAGCTCCATAGAAGCTGCTCAAATCAATATTTGGTTGACTTCAAATGTGGCACATTGAAAATACAAATTAGCAATTGCTTGAATCTTGTGCAAAATTTAGTTTTTTAGTTCTCTGTTTCTGATTTTTATTCAGTTAAACCTGGTTTAACAAAACAAGTTTTCTGGTGTGAATGGGGTATTAACATCC